GAGAGAGAGAGAGAGAGAGAGAGAGAGAGAGAGAGAGAGAGAGAGAGAGAGAGAGAGAGATCGCAAGTTGGTCTGTAGAAAGGGACTAATACTGGACGGAAGACCAGGGAAGGACTTGAGCCCGCTGCAGATAGTTAAGTGAAATTCACCTCAGACAGGAGGGGTTTCCTTTGTTGATTTCGAGTCCACTTTATGCAAACCTAGCTTCTTGCTCAAAGGGTCTCTGTTTCCTCCAGCCTAGGACGCTGGGATTTTCTCAGGTAGTCAGCAATACGTCCCAGGGGAATCCGGGCAGCTAGTTCAGGAGTCCTGATTAGCGCGTCCTGTAGCTCTTTCTGGCAGCTCTGCAAACCGAAGGCAGACCCTTTCCCCACTCCGCATTAGTTTTCTTACTACCAAGAACGAAAACAAAATAAAACAAAACAAAAAACCAAACCCAAATTGTGCAAGAAACTGGAGAACAAACGCAGACTCAGAACCCCACACGTGGTTCTGTAAATTGGATGGGAGGAGGAGGGGGAGGCGGGGAGAGAAGTGAAAGCAGGAATTAGGATACAGCCCAAGCCTCCCTTATTTTTCTTTTCCAGTATGTATTGTTTTAACTCTGCCCGGCCCTGCTTATCTGACGAAAGTGGAAGTCGGTCGACAGTGGTTTCGACAGCACAGCGTTAAAGCCAGCAGCAGCCGCACACTGGGGATTTTGTGGGGGCACTTCGGAGACGCTTCGGAGAGAGAGGCTGTTGGCAGGGCTGTTTCGATGCTCGAGATAGTTCCCCCCAAGATATGAACAGCGTCTTTGTCTAAACTCAAGATAAAGAGATGTGTCAGCTTCCTCAAACAGGATATTCGAATTTCATTCTTTAATAATGACCCCCAACTCTCAAGAAGTAGAGAAAATGAAGACACCTTTTGTAGGTTTCGTGTCTTTAAAAACAGGTAGGCAGGGGAGTGGCTTACTTCTGGAAGTTGTGTTGTTTCAGTGATATAATTTTTTAACGAAAGAACGTATTTTTGTAAATGAGTCACGAAGACAAAGCTTGTCAACGAAGCCGCATCCTCCAATAAATTAAAATCAAACACACCTTTATCGCAAAGGGGAAGCTCTGCTACTCCTTCAATCACATTGAGAGATTAGAAAAAAAACAAAAACGACTCCCCAGCAAAAACCAGGGTTTTGTTTTTCTTTTCTAGCATGGCTTGCATTAAACAAAACATGTGAACAAGACTTCAGTGAAACCCCTAGGCGATGTAAACACCCAGGGAAAGAAATTCTGGGTTGATCATATTTAGGGGTCATAAGATTTCATTCCTAAGAATCATCTATGAAGTAGTTTAACCAGAGGCCCTGAGAGCAGATGAGACAGTGGACTCGGGATATGTGTGTGTGTGTGTGTGAGAGAGAGAGAGAGAGAGAGAGAGAGAGAGAGAGAGAGTTTACAGAACTTTCTTCCTGTTAGAAAAAAAACCCACATGAAATGTAAATGCAAAAAGCGTATTCTTGCTTCATTTTTTCTAGGGTCCAAGTATGGATTTAGTAGATTCCGAAGGCCAACTGCCAATTCATGAATGTATAGGAATAAAACACGGGCACAAACGCCAAATGCTTGTGGTTTATGCAAACTACGGAAAATCCCGGGTTTTGAATTTAGGTAGATAAATGGAGAGATAAAATTATAGAAATCAGTCGTTACGGTTTGTTGTGGATTTCTCTCCGCGATAGAATTTTCCCTACGTTTCCAAAATATTCATTTACAAACACTTGCTAATATTTTAAGCGCCTGGGACCAGCCATTTGCTTACTTTGCGTGTGTAAAGTACTTGGGGAGAGGTAACCTAAGAGATACCCGAGAGTAAAGCGGTTCCTTGCAGTTAGACCTAAGGACTTAAACACTCTCCTGGGATGCTGGACGTGAAGAACAGAGGTGAAGGGACCTCCGGCGACACCCACGACTCCACCTCCTTCTAAAGCTTTCAACAGAGCCTTTCCTGCGGGTTCAAGGAGGGGATGGGAGGGAGCTCCTTTAGGTGGAAGAAGTGGGGGTGGGCCGGGTATTTCATCTGGTCCAGTGAGGAGGGTCGATCCAGGAAGCCCTTGGGACTCTAGTCCATCGCGGACGAGACCGGTCCGCAGCGAGCGGGGCGCGCAGAGCAGCTGCCTGCTCCGCGGGTCGCCGCCGCCGCCGCCCCGGTGGCCCTCCCGCGCGCCCTCCGTAGCCGCGAGCGTCCGAGACCCGGACACCGGCCCGCTCCCGGCAGCGTCTATTACCAGCAGCTGCTTCTGCTTAGCCCTGCGAGGCTCGGCTGGCCCCAGCCCTCGGCCTCTCCTGGGCTTCGGCTCCTCCCTCCCCTCCCTCCCTTCCCCGCCTCTACCCCGCAGCTCTGCAGTGGCTGCCGCGGGTCACGGCGGTTTCGCAGCCACCAGCCTAGGTTCACAGACCCTGGGTGGGGGGACGTCGGGGGAGGGAGCTGGGGGAAGGAGCGGGAATTGGGAGTCTACCGACGGGGCGCTACCCCGTGGGGTCCCGAGGCTGCAGGCGGGTGGGAGGGCTGGAGTAGACGCGGCGTCTGATCCTGAAGGCGAGCCGGAGGCCGAGGGACGTCGGACTCTGGGGGTCACCTGCGGCGCCCGGGATCCTGGTCTCCCCGGAGAGGTCCGTGGTGTGAGAGCGTTGGGGAGGTTTCCCCCGCAAGTACTGGGGCGGGTCCAGGCGCTCCACAACCTCCTTGGGCACTCTCACCCAGAGGTCCCCTCCAGGTTCCAGGCATCCCCTCTGGCAGGTGTGGCTAGGAAAGGAAACAGTAGCTGACGGCCCCAAAGGTTCAGATGGAAGTTAAGCCGGAAAGTCCAATCTGTGGCGCCTGGCCGTGCCGGTGGAGGACTGGGCTCTGGGGTTGTCCCTGCGGCAGCTAACAGGAGTCCTCTCCCTCAGCGATAGAGAGAGTCCCTTGTTGAGGACACCCGCGTCCCTGGCTCCCTTGCTTGGGACAGAGACCTGGTCTGAAACCTAGGATGCTCCCACACTAGGATAGTGAGGGTACACAGACAAGAAGAGCTTTCTTTACAGACTGCGGTAGTGTTTGGTGGTTGGCAAGGGGTTGTCTTGCATGCAAGCTCGCACAGTTTTCTTTGGCCTTAGCAGGAAGAACAATAGCATCTCGCCTGCCCAGAAGTGACCCAAGGGCCTGCTGGGGGCTTCTCTCAGCAGAGGGCACACCCACCACACCACGCCTGTCAAATCTGATAGCTGGAAGGGGTGATAGCTGCCAACCCCACAATTCTGATGAACAAATGGAATTGACCAAGGCTTCAGGGTGACCTGCCCAGGATAAGGCTTTCTGTGTCTTTTGCCTAGGAATAATTCTGGCGCAGGGAGAGCCACGAGGGAATTCTTGTTTAAAAAGAGAGCAGCCAGCCAGGTGGTCCCAAACTCAGGATCACACCCAAGTCTGAATGAATCCTAGGGCACCCCCTTTAATACACCGGAAGCGAAACGACTTGGGGTGGTTTTCCATTAAACCCTGCAAGCGCCAAGCCTAGAAGGCAGCCCTTGAAAGCCTGTGGCCCTATTAGCCTCAGATTCCAATTAAACGAAGGTTAAAACCTTTGACACTGCTGCTCCTGCGCCCACTCGGCTTAGGTTTTCATCCCGATACTCCGAGAACTGTCCTGTGATTCATGTCATTTCCTTATTGTCAAAAACAGAAAAATCACAACGGATGGAGCCGGCTTCCTCTGCCCCTTCCTTATTGATTTTCTGTTTCTACTGTTACTGCTATTATTATTTGACAACCTTAACTTAAACCTTTACTTCTTGGCAGGAGTGAAGCCATTAAAGATGCACATCACATCAAGAAGCTTTTCATACCCCCTCCAGCCAACACACCTTGATAACCATAGTCTCAGGCCTAGTAAAAGGTATGCACGCAGGTCATTGCAGCTTGAAGATGATACCCCTCACAATGTCCCCAGTCACAGGACAAACCAATTGTTTCCCCTAGTAAGACCTCAGAATTTCTAGAGCCTTCTCTTCTCTGGAAAACAGGGGAACACTATTTCTGGAAGGGCACAGGTGAGGCTAGGAAAGTACAGACTACCCTGGACTGGACAGCATGGTCCTGGCGGCCTGGTCATCTCAGGCTCTTTCAACATCGAAGCAACTGTTCAAACAAGCCAAGGTGCAGCTTGTCTCTTTACCCCTTTGCTAATGCTTTGAGTGCTGTGATCCTCTGTCACACACTGCAGGCCATTCCCAGGAAAAGATATCCTCCCTCTCTTGAATGCTGATGTCAGTTTTCAGGAGATAGAGACTCTAGGCATTTTGGAAATTTAGATTAGCAACTTAAAAAAAAAATGCATCAGAGGCTGTGAAACCAACCCTCCTTATGGGCCATCTTCAGTCCTAGTCTGGGGCTTGGCACATGGAAGTGCCATCATCACTGAGGTGAGCATTTGTCCTAACCCTGGCGATGACCTTTCTGCGGAGGAGATCCTTCAGTAACTACCATCTTCCCTTGCCTCCATGCTTGCCAAGGAGCCTAAGCAAAGGCTTTTGATTTTGTGATGTCAGCCTGGAAATCAGTGAGAGAGCTGATTGCTCTGACATGCTGAATTAGCATACCCCAGGAGTGGGACCTGACCAACAGATTAGTTCCTGTTCCTCTGATAAGAGAGACACAGATCCAGGTTTATATTCACAATTAAGGAATGGAAAGTAACACAAAGGTGGGTTTTGATAAAGCAAAGGGAAGATTTCTTTGGGAGGAATAGCGCTGAGTAACTCTTTCCCGGATATCTGGAACCTGACAATGAATTGGGGCAGAATGAAATGTCTAGGGAGAGAGTTACTAAGGCAGAGATCTCTGCGGTAAAAACCAGGCTGCGGTCTTAATCCTCCTTTCCAAGAATCCCAGGATGTACTTTAGTAGATCATACTTCCCTCTGTTATTTTTTTAAATTAGCAAAACTTTTAAAAATCATAAAGGGCCGAAATCAATGACTGGGATTTCATTAAAAATGAACTCTAGACACATGCATTTCTTTCATTTTCCTGAGGAATGACCTGACTTTCCTTTTTTGGCTGCAAGTTTTGAACTCAAAACAATATTTACAAGCAATACTAAATTCTTGGGCCTGCATCTCTTAACAAAAACTTTGGCTTGCCTCTACCGTGTCAAGTCAAAACATTTTGAGATAATAGTTTTTTTTTTTTTTAATTTTCCCTATTTCATGCTACAAATTCTGAATTCTTTAGTACATACATTAAATTTTTAGTATAGTGCACTTTAAGCAGACATTGTCAATGTGAGTGTTATACAGAAAGAAAAGTCTCCCTTTGGCTAGCCAGTGCTTGTGGACTCGGAGGGAAGACACAGCACTGTGAATTCCTCTGAGCGCCATCTGTGATCTGATGAAGGCTCGCCATTATAGAAGATTGGGAGGTTAAATTAATTAGCTTCTTCCATTATACTGCTGGCTTCTGGAGATGGTTGCCATTTTCCCCTAAATGTCATTATTTCTAGACCTAGTTAGCAGCTGATACAATTAAAGAGGAGATAATGTAAATTTAACAATGCAAATAACACTTCCCTTCATGAAAATTGAAAAAAAGCATGGAGTGGACCAACCAAGCCAAGCCTGGCTGCCATAAATAACCCATGTAACTTGGACTTTAAATGAATAAAGTCAAGTTGACCAGTGCATTTTTGGATTATTTTCTTCAGTGAGTTCTTGAATCAATACTTTTGCTTCATGTTTTCATGTTCTCAGTAATGTTAACATATCCAGTTACAAACTCTTGCCAGTGAGAAAGAGAACATGCCCTGCTGTGCACCTTCCTAAACACGTTTGAAGA